GCAAGTTAGGATCACATAGGCTTTTTGGGCTGCCGCTTGCACATTTCTTGCTCCTGTTTAGCTGGTTGTCCCCTAAGACTCCAAGATCCCTCTCACAGTTACTGCTATGAAGCCTCATTTCACCCAGTCAATATGTGTACTTTGGGTTTTTCTTGCCTAGGTGTAGGACTTTTCTGTACGTTGAATTTCATTTTGTTAGACAGGGCCCAGGGTTCAAGTCTGTCAAGATCCATCTGGATCTTGAGCCTATCTTCTGCGTGTTAGAATTGAAGTCCACCCATCTCAAAATGGCCAAGGTTGAGAGACATTGCTTTGGGAGCAAGCGGGTATCCTTTAAACTTGGCAAGTTTAAGGCTTGTGGACTTCAACTCCCACAATTCCTGAGCTAACATGACTGGAGGTGGAGGAATTCTGGGAGTTGAAGTTCACAAGTCTTAAAGCTATCAAGATTGAGGACCTCTGTTTTAAACCAAGCTAGCCACCATTTTTATTTGCAAATAATGTTTGTAAGGCCGGTGGCGGTGACAGATAGAGGCAACCAGAGAAATAAAAATTGATTCTAGAACTTTGTGGCAGAACTTTGTTCCAGTCTAATTTTTTTAAAGTAGAAAGGATCTATTAAAAACCACAGCCACCTGGCCAGAGATCCTGATAAGCAAAACACCAAGACCAGGTTTTCTGAATTTGGATCCCATTAAAATGGTGGGCTTCAACTCCCAGCCATGCTGGTTGGGGAATGCTTGGAATTGAAATCCAGCCATCTTAAAGCTGTCCAGATTGAGAAACCTTCACAAAGAGAGTCAACTGTTGATCTCCGCTTTATAGTGTAGGAAGTTAGCACCCACCTCTAGAAAATGAAATATCCTAGGAAATACTAAAAAGGCAGAATATTTCCTCTAAAAAGAGAAGTAGAAACTCAGAAGCAGAAGCTCAGCCCCCACTTTTGTTAATGGGTGGGCCATTAAGGCCTGGGCCAGAGTATTCTACATAACAAAGTTCTACTCCAGGTAGAGCCATAATAGGAATTGCCCAAAGCTCTTTTCATTACATCATCATCTAGCAAAGGCTCAACCAAGCCTGGGACTCAGGACAGCCTACAGAGTTGCTCCTGCATGTCTAGTTTAACAAAGAGAAAGACTGAGGGTGGCATGATAGCAGTCTTCCAGTATTTGAGGGGCTGCAACAGAGAAGGGGGCGTGCCCATCCAAAGTACCACAGGGCAAGGCAAGAAGCAATGAGTGGAAACTTATCAAGGAGAGATCCAACCTAGAAATTTCCTGTGAGGGAGATCAATTAACCAGTGGAATGGCTTGCCTCCAAAAGTTGTGGGTACTTCATCACTTGAGGTTATTTTAAAGCAGGACTCTTCAACCTTGGCAGCTTGAAGATTTGTGGACTTCCACTCCCAGAATTCCTCCACCTCCAATCATGTTAGCTCAGGGATTCTGGGAGTTGAAGTCCAAAAGTCTTAAACTTGCCAAGTTTGAAGAGCCTTATTTTAAAGGAAAGATTGGATAGCCATTTGTCTGAAGGTTGGACTAGAAGACCTCTAAGATCCCTTCCAACTTCTATTCTATGTCATGCCGTTCCGTTCCACTCTATTCCATTCTTAGTCTTATTCTATTTTATTCTTATTCTAGTCTAGTTTAGTCTAGTCTAGTCTAGTCTAGTCTAGTCTTATTATTCTAGTCTTATTCTTATTCTTATTTTATTCTTATTCTATTTTTTTCTTTTATTATTCTATTCTATTTTATTCTATTCTATTCTTATTCTATTCTTTCTTATTCTATTCTTCTTCTTCTTCTTCTTCTTCTTCTTCTTCTTCTTCTTCTTCTTCTTCTTCTTCTTCTTCT